GTACAAAGAAGTCATCCCTCTGTTGAAATGATAGCACTTACAATATCTACTGTAGTTTCAAATTTACAGATGCTGCTAGACCCCATAGTCATTGCTTGATTGCTGTAAGCTAAATGAAAGGTGAACATTTAATTAACTGCTAGCTTATTACAGGAACTAATGCATCTCAATGTATTCTTCCATACAGTGAATGTGGTATAATCGAATGAGCAGTGTTGGTGACTCCACTTTCTCTAATTTTTGCAGTTAAGAATTAGGTTTAACTATATTTCTCAACACTGTCGATTCATGCATCCATTTCTCTACTAAGATTAAATTATCCAGGTTATGATTATTTTGCCACTTCTGTTGAATTCCTACCAACATCAGGGTCACTCCTTCCAGTTTCACACAATCTGTGACTGAGTTGCCATCTGCAAGAGAATAATGAAGTTTTAAGGAAAATAAAGCCAAAGTGAGTTGAAATATTCATAAAATGCACCCCCACCACCCCAAAAAATCTGCTGTATGATCAAATTCCTATTAGAGTTGTTTTCACAAGTCGTCTATTCCAGGTAACATAGACAGCTAGTTTGGTCTAGGAGTTAAGCCACCAGTTAGAAACCGGGTGAGTTCCCGTCCCACCTTAGGCATAAAGACCAGCTAAGTGACTTTAGGCCAGTCAGTCTCTGTCAACACAGAGAATAGAATAAGAATAGAATAGAGCAGGGGTGATCAAACTTGGGAACTTTAAGACTTGTGGACTTCAACTCCCAGAGTTTCCCAGCATGCTGGCTGGGGAATTCTTGGAGTTGAAGTCCACAAGTCTTAAAGTTCCAAGTTTGGATACCCCTGGAATAGAGAATAGAATAGAATAGAATAGAATAGAATGGAATGGAATTCTTTATTGGCCAAGTGTGATTGGACACACAAGGAATTTGCCCTTGGTGCATATGCTCTCAGTGTACCTAAAAAGACAAAATACATTCATCAAGAATCATAAGGTACAGCACTTAATGATAGTCATAGGGTACAAATAAGCAACCAGGAAACATTCAATATCAATATAAATCGTAACACAGTTACAATCATACAGTCATAAGTAGGAGGAGATGGGTGAGAGGAACGATGAGAAGACTAATAGTAATGCAGCCTTAGTGAATAGTTTGACAGTGGTGAGGGAATTATTTGTTTAGCAGAGTTGATGGCGTTTGAGGAAAAAACTGTTCTTGTGTCTAGTTGTCTTGGTGTGCAGTGCTCTATAGAGTTGTTTTGACAGTAGGAGTTGAAACAATTTATGTCTAGGTGCACAGGGTTGTTGTGACGGGAAAATAAAAGGAAGGAGCATTAGGCTTGTTTGCCATCTTGAACAATTTACACAAATAACAGTGGGAGAAAATAATCTATATTTAATCAAATCGTTAATACTCTTAATATCTGTCATGAGTTTCTGGTGATCCCGAATCAGCAATGTGAGAATAAAATGAGCAAAAATAATTCGCTCGGAGTATATAGGGCTCTAATAGTAATTTGATAATTTAATTGATTAAATTATTAGCGATAAGTATTCTGATAGAAATGATTTGTTCAGGAGATTTCTTAGGAATTCTATAAACGTGGGATGTGAGAAATCTCCAGTAATTGTTGCTGTTAAAAACATTGTGATTGATGTTTTAATATAATTCCTAAAGATAATTGATTTTCCCAGTCCCCACTCTGTTCACAATTATGTTTTATTCTTATAAAAATCAAACTTGAGTCAAGATAATTTGATTTAGACAAATTGAGTTTTATTGAGATTTTAAGGTACAGATTTTAATGACGTTTATTCAATGTCTACCGGTGTTTTAAGCCTAATGTAATTATTTCAATGATTTCTTTTGTTTTACCCTGGCAAAAGTATTCTACCTGCTGTTTCTTTGACATAAAACTTCAAAGAATATTCTAGAGAAGTGTCTTTCAGACTTGGCAACTTAATGCTGGCTAAGGCATTATGGGAGTTGAAGTCCATACATCTGAAAGTTGCCAAGTTCGAAAAACAACTCTACACAGTCAGTTACAGAAACATAAGTTTGGTGGCTGGAAATACCAAAGATTTTTTAAATAATTTGTGTCTGAGGGAACTTTCTATTTGAATCACTATTGCCTTCTGCCACACCTTAAAATTGAAAATGATATTCTATGGCTTCCAGAAGCTAGAATCAGAGACAGACAGCTGACAATCTCACCTTTCCCTTCAAATTATATTGTACATCCTTTCCTCCCTTGTTGGCCTTTCAGTTTCATTTCTGACTTTTATTATTTTGGGAAAATCCAATGCTGTATCCAATGTCATTAATCCATTAATACAATGTCAGAAGCACAAAGTGTGGTATTCGGTGAATTATTTCCTGTAACTGCTCTTGTATAGCTTCAACTCTCCCTAAGGCCATTGCAAAAATGGTGTTTGAATGTCAGAAACAATAAATTAATAGAATTCCAAGGAATCCAAGTGAAGAATGTGCCATAAAGATGGCTGTGTGGATGTGGATTATGCAAAAGCTTCTTTTCAGTAAAGGTCAGTATGAAGACTGCAAAACTGGTACAGTTGAGAATAGACTTCCTAGTTTTTGATTCTTGGGTCATTGAATGGGAAAGTAGCAGAATTCCCTCATGGAAATATCAAGGCGCTACGGGAGGGATGAGGGTGCTGCAGAGAGATGCAGGAGGCTGTGGGAAGGCCACACCGCAAGCTGTGTGCGAGTCCAGACTAGGCTTTGGATCAGTAGTGGGTTTCAAATTTTTTAAGAACTTCTTCTGTAGGTGTGACCTGCTTTGTGGGAGTGGCTTGCTGGCCATGTGACTGGGTGGGAGTGGCTTGCCAGCCATGTGACTGGGTGGACGTTGCCAACTTGTAAAATGTGGTGAAACTCACTTAACAACGCTCTTGCTTAGCAACCAAAATGTTGGCTCAGAAACTCTGGCATTTGAAGCACGCAAGTCTTAAAGCTGTCAAGTTACAAGACCCTTGCACCCCTAACCCTTTAGAAAAAAAAACCCAGGTGTGTTCAAACTTAACAGCTTTAAGACTTGTGGACTTCAACTCCCAGAATTCCTCCTCTCGCTCTTCATCTTGATGATGTGTGAATGGGCGGGGGGAGGGAGCTGGAACTGGTTCTAAATGGCACTGTAGATTTGTGGAACCTCTTCTATAGAAAGGTTAGAACTGGCAGGAACCCGCCGCTGTTTTGGATGCCCAGCACAGGCTGGGTGCAAATCAGAGGGAGAGCTGGGCAGGCCCAGGAAGGCCATGCATGAATCTAGAGAAGTTAAGGAAGAGCTTGGAAGGCCCAGGGCAGTCTGCATGTGAGCTGGAAAGACCCTGAGCCAGTGGAGGTTGCACACAGATGAGAGGTGGGAATGACTTATCAGAGCAACTTCTGACCTTTCCTGCTGGCTTCCCCATTGACTTTGATTGTGACAAGCTAGTAGGGAAAATCACAAATGGTGATCACATGACCATAGCTCTCTGAGATGTACTCGCAAGCTAGGCATCAAAGGACCCAAATTGCGATCATGTGACCCTGGGGATGCTGCAATGGCCAGAATTTTAGGGTCACACATTCATTTTTTCAGCACTGCCATAACTTTGAACAGTCATCGAACTAATAGACATAAGTCAAGAGCTACCTGAAGTTCTTTCCAGAAACATGAGTGTTGATTGACATGAACTATTCTGCTTTGATAATCCACGCTAACTTTCCAAACTTCCTAGAATTTCCTCTGTCCCCAGACCAGTGGTGGGTTGCTGCCACTTCAGCCCGGATTGGCTGAACCAGTAATAGCGCCCAGATGCTTCTGCACATGTACAGAAGCGTCGCATGCGCAGGAGCGCACCCAAACCAGAGGTAAAAAAAATTAGCAACCCACTTCTGCCCCAGACCCATAGAGCATAAATCAAATCAAATCAAACCTTTATTGTCAATGTACAACATGTGTACAATGAAATTGAATGAATCTCCCTTGGTGCAGCCCACCCCACCCCGAAACACAAAATAAATAAAAGAAAAAGAAATCACTAAACCCAAATAAGTAATAACTAGCACACATTCCCATATACATATATGTATATAACATTTATGTATATAACATATAGAACATTTGACTCCCTTGTTTATTCGGCAGTGAAATTTTTCCTCACCATTTTCAAGACCCAAATTATCTCAGTGAAAAAATGAACAATTATGTCTTCTAGCTTCATCCAGTTGTTATACAGTTAACAAAATTTTATATATACATTTATTTTGTGTTACATTTTTACTGATAAAGAAATAAAGGAAAACTAGTATAGATCTCTTTCAAGCTATTTAGCTCTCATTAGCTGGCCATACCCTTCTAGGATCCGAACTTGGGCATATTAGGCAGTTGTAGTAACCTCTAAGCCACAAGTTATCCTCACTTTATTAGCTGAACCAGGGGGGAGATTAAGTGTTTTTTCTTCTGTCAGATTATCTGGTCTACCCAAATATGGGAGGGAGGTGTGTGTGTGTGTGTGTGTGTGTGTGTGTGTGTGTGTGTGTGTGTGTAATATTTTATAATATATATGTATTATATAATTGATTTCTCTACAAAAATCTTTATTTGCACAAATCAAAACATGTTTCATTATTAAACTGGTTAATATTTTAAAATTGTCAAACATGTCTTGCCTTTATGCCTTTTCAGGGAATAAAGTTTATGATTTTAAGTACTTCTACATGCACATAACCACAATTGATTGTATTTCTCTATATTCTTTTATTGTTTTTTTATCAAACAGTACACAACTGGCATTTAGACTGGTTTTAAATGAATGTAACTATTGTTGAATAGATTTATAACTATTCAAGTTACAAAAGTATTAACTATGCATTTCACATTCTTATTTGTTGTGCTTTTAATTTCAAATGCCAGGCAAAATTGCAATACTGTAACTAAATTAAACCAAAGCTATTGTTTTTTTTCTCTTCTAAATAAATAAATGTGTCTTCCTTGTTTTCCAGCTTCAAAGAGGATTGGATTAGAGACATGGCACAAACACGCTGTTCTGGAGAATACGACTTACAAAATAAATCAGCTAGAACTAGTAATGCACTTGGTAAACATTTGGTCCCTGGACATAATGGTGGTGTACAGAGGATCCATACAGTACATGCAGCAGCCGTCTACGGGCAGGATAAAGATATACTTGGAAAACTGCATACTCACTTACCTGGATAAACAGCCTCAACTGTTAAAAGGACCAAAGGAAATTGTGAATACACATGCTTACTGAATGTGCCTTAAAAACAACATTAAAATAAATGTCTGTCTCTTATATATCTGTTGCGGTAAATGTCTGACTATAGCTATAATTTAGCAAATTGCCCAAAATATGGAAAACTAAATTCAGTTTCACAAAAAAGCAAAATAAAATGCATTTTTGACATTTACCAGGGCAGCGCATGCTTAAAAAACAATTAGGAAGAAATTACTTGGATTTGCACAAGCACAGCACCCCCTTTCATTAAAGAAGCACAATTTTATTCCATGTGAGCTTCAGTAAAAGGCTGCTGGTGCTTTAATGAATGTGACAGAGGCTGTACTCTGTTCCAAGGCACTTTGGAATTATTTTTAATGTTTGTCCATACCTGCAATTTCATATCAAGCTACCATTTCGACACTTTGCTTAAAAAATTAAAAAGGGATGACATCAAGGAAGGAATTGTATGTTGTTTTAATATGTGCTTCAATGTTGGATCTTAACAGTTTGTACCTTTTCTGCATGTGACCATCCTGATGATAGTGAGGATGAATTCTAACTGCAAATTTAGTTTACCTTCTCTTTATATATATATCAAAAAAGAAAAATGTATTTTTTCACAAGAAGATGAAATTAAAATAAATAAATATATATTTTAATGAGAAATTGGTCAAGCAAACATGTTGGTTCAGTGTCCAGGTTGCATTATAATCTTCTATTTCAAGTCCTTTATCATGTGTCCTATTTGAGCTGTGGGGGCACAAAGGTTAGAATGCAGCATTTCAGGCTAATTCTGCCAACTGGCAGCAGTTCGATCCCGAGTGGCTGAAGGTTGACTCAGCTTTCCATCCTTCTGAGGTCGGTAAAATGAGAACCCAGATTGTTGGGGACAATATGCTGACTCTGTAAACCACTTAGAGAGGTCTGTAAAACACTGTGAAGAGGTATATAAATCTAAGTGCTATTGCTATTATTATTGTTAGAAGAACTTAGATACCACTTTTCCATTTACTGAATGTCACAACAGCTAATGTAAAAATAAAGCAAAACTCTTTTGAAAACAAAAAAACAAGTTCAAGTGCAGCAACCTAATTTCAAAGCAAATAAGTGAAAAAGCTGCCATATCAATCAATTGAAACTGAAATTATCCACTGGTGGCTTTAATAAAAAAAATCATAGGGTGCCTAAAAGGGATAAAATCAAGGTTATGTGAAAAAGAGAGAACAGCTTATTTTTTAATAGCCATGCAATTATCCTTTGAAGCACAGCTTCTGGTGATTATCTTAATAGAGGAGTTGGTTTGTTCTTACAGGTAGAAGAATGAAGATTGTGAGAGAATAGCAATTCTGAGATACCACCCTTTGATTTTTAAAAGTATTCAGTGATAATGAATTCTAACAAGTCAACAAAAAAAAATTAAAAATGCAATAATGGACAATACGAAGAAAAAAATAAGGCAAGGATGATAAAAAAGGATAGGGAAGGAATAGAAAATCCACACAATGAGGGGGGGGGAATTCACTACTTATCTATTAGATTTTTATCCTGTTCATATTATTTTATAAGTAACTCAAGGTAGGAAAAATACCTAATACTCCTCCTTCTCCCACAGCAACTCTGTGAGATGATTTTGGCTGAGAGAAAAGAACTGGTCTAAAATCACCCAGCCAGCTTCATGCCTAAGGTGGGACTAGAACTCACAGTCTCCTGATTTCTAGGCCAGCACCTTAACCGCTATATGAAATTGACTCTCACACATTCTAGTGCTAACTCATCCTCATGAAAGCCCTGGATCAAAGGTTCTAGCAGAGGAGTCATTCAAAGTCTCAATGTCATATGGAGCAGGGTTTTTAGGTTGCTCCATGGAACCCTAAGATTCTTCAAAAACTTGATGAGTTTCATGAGAGTCTAATGACAAAATTAAGAAATTCATTTAGAATCATAGCATCATAGGACTGAAAGAACTTGGGGTGTCTTTTAGTCCTCCCCCACCACCCCCACCCCGCCCAAGGCTGGAATCCTTAATACCATCCAGGACAAATCATGATTTAGCCTCAATCTCTTCTCTGCATTCTTTCTATGGCCTCGGCATTTTTTCTGTATTGTGTGTTAATTTACGTATGATTTTGCAAATATTTTGGCAGCCTAATCATAAGAAAAACTATATCCTAAATGTAGTAATAGAAGGAACAATGATAAGTATCAAAGATCAAATATCTAGGAATAAATGTTCACCAAAGATGTATAATGGACAAAGAGATTCACGTATGATGCAATAAGGCAAACCAGAAATGGGCAGCTTGCTCCATTCCTACAACATAAGGCAGTACCAATCAGCACAAAGAAGCATCTCATATAAGGCCTACTCATCCCCACCCTATGTTACCAGGGCCAAACATGGACATTTACAACAAAACATAAACAATAGTTAGTCACCACAGAAATGAGATGTTTGAAGAAAGTTGCTGGAGCGACCAGAATAGATAAAATCAGAAATGAGACCATAAGAGAAAGAATTGGCATATCTTAAACTACACACAAAACAGTAAATAAAGTGGTTTGCTCACTTGGAGAGCATGTCGTGGGAGTCTTATGCCAAACAATGCATATACAAAAAGAGGAGAAGGTCAAAGAACACAAGGCAGACCCAGAAGACGGAGAGACAACATCAAACTTTGTTTCTCCCCTGATATCTGAAATGGTAAAAGAGGAAGAAAAAAACTCATAACTAGTAATTTATTTATTTATTTTTTAAAAAGTCTTACTGAATTTGAACAACATTAATGATCTGCACTAAAGTGTTGCAGTTATTATAACCATCTTGCAGATGTTGTGCCTCCAAGTCAGGATTGATTCCTGATGACTGCCTGGCCCTGGACATGTCCCTATAATTTTCTTAGCAAGAATTCAAAAGCAGTTTTCCTAAAATGGGACTAGAGCTCATGGTCTCCTAGTTTCTAGCCTGGTATCTTAACCATTACACCAAACATATTGTTGCTAGGGAATAATATAAATGAAGAAAGACTAAAAAAAAAAAGGATGCCCATGTATATCAGAAAATTTGAACCTTGAAACTCCTTGTTGCTTAGCTACTACTACAGTACATGCATCTTTTACATATAACAGAGAAAACAGGAAGAGTAAGCATGTAAAAACTAGCAATAGAGTGAAGACAGATAATGCTTAAGGAAGTGGCTGCTGGGGCTTCGTAGTGGGTTTTGTTGTTCAGCATGTGGTTCCAAAAAGAGAAATAAACAGAAAAGCATTTTCAGCTAGAGAACAGTCTCTATCCTCATCAGAGACAGATAGGCACAAAAATAAGTAATACAGCACATTCCTTTTTTAAAAATCCAAAATAGAAATAATAACACCAACAATAATCAGAAACAGAACAAAGATACCAAGCCTTGGGAAAGCAGTAGATTTACAGAAGGAATATTATTAAAATGCTAAGATTTATTTAAGCAATTTTGATCCTGCAAACTACAAGGTGCTTTATAAAGAAATTGCACTCAGACAATTTGGTGATGATTATCTTCTGTTTCTCCTGTAAATATCTTTTGTTTATGATAATGATGTCCCTGGAGCTTTAATTATTGCCCATGTAAGAAATTATGTATCATTTAAAATATGCATAAGAAAAATGAAAGGAGATGAGTAAACCCAGCAAACATATAAACTAACACATTTAGAGAATTATAGCCTTCCCGTTCTTATCAGTTAATGAATTGGAGCAGGCTGTCTTGCAGATTGCTTTAATGTGCAAAATAGCATGCAGTTCTAGAACTGTATGGTTCTTCCAGTTCTACCTCTAGTTGTCTAGTGGTAACAACAGTCAATAATGCTATGTGCACTTTGAATACTTCTACTGCCACAGCTTCTACTCAACCTGTTTTAATGGGCATATCTTGTTTGCATGACATAACAGTATCACAAGAGAGACAGGAAATGATCACAAGTAACAGTATTGTTAGGAGCCTCCTGTTTTTATCAGGCTCACCTAGACAGTTTTAGGACCAAAGCTAAACAACACATTATATAGTAAACTCTGAAGGTGATACTGATTGCAAACTCCAGCTTCAGATATTCAATACTCCCTATGCCACCAATAAGAATTCATTGAACATAGCGCAAAAAATCCACAAGTCTTACGATTGTCGTTTAATCCCACATTCTGAAAGGTAGCAAGCTGAGTTCCCAAAAGTTTGGAATAGCACTGACAATTATTTCCATATTCTGAAGATAGCGAGCTGAATTCTCAAATGGCACTAACTCGGTATTTTCCTTCTAGGCTAATCTTAGCAATTTAGCTCATTGAATAATGGATTGTGTGGTCCCTGTTCTGCCTCTACCTTCACTGTCTGAAACATTAGTATGTCTTCAGTGGTGCCTCTTGTCTCTTGACCTGGAAGATCAGGTGGGTTTAAAGGATCCTCTTCCCAGATAAGTGAAAGTTGTTTTTACTTACCGATAGAATACCTGTCCAGAGATTCTTTGGGGGAATCGTCTTTAAATTCCAGGCATCTGAAGAGGGCCATTAATCCAGTCCTATGTTTGAGTCCATTCATGGGTTATTTACAGGTACCCAATTTTTCAGAGTATTTCCAGGATTTAAGAACATTTTGCTCATGAAACAGATGATTTCCTGCACATCTAACCATTTTGTTTAATGGCTTTTAGGTTTGTAGAATGATCTACCTACAAATTTTAGTTGGTTATTATTGTAATTATATTTCTATGCAATTGAGAACAGAAGGATACCTTTATTTTGAGAGTGCATCATAGTGGGCATGTTCACTCTTCTTTTTTAATCTTAATGTCTAATTTGGAGTGTTCAATATAAATATTGCTACTCGGTTATTAATTGAAACTTTCTTTGTAGTCAATTAAGTGCTTTTAACTGGGTAATATAAGTTAATAAATAATTAATGGAAAGGATTGTACTATAGAAGGATTACTTTCAAAAATTAATGTAGGACAGCATATTTAAAAACATTATTCCAGGAAAGAGAAGGTTTGCTGTGGGTATATCATTGTTTTGTCAACAGTATGCCAGTAAACCTTAAGTTAATCTCATTTTAAGCATATAAGGATGATTGAGGATGGAAGAAAAACAGTGTACAGTCAGGCTGGACAACTTTCAATAAAAATAACTATACGTAGGATTTTTAAAACCTGAATGAAACCCAAGGGCAAAGAAATATCACTGGGTTACACACCCCCTCCCTTCCCTGAGCAATGTATTTTTCCAAGGGCGAAAAAAGGACCCCTGGTGGCCAAAACTTTAATAAGGTGACACTCAAATTTTACTTTCGCTTTTCCATAAACTCGTCATTAAACTTCCGTTGCTGGCAGCAATTGAAGGAGACAATTCTTCAGCTTGCCAAATTTAATGGGCTTCTTTCGGTCATAGCGGGAAAAACTGTCAAACTCATAGACAATGATCTTCAGAAAATGTAAGTGATAAGATTCCCCCTCCCCCTCCCCCACGAGGATGCCTTTTCCAACCAGGCTGCTGAGAGAATTGTCTTCTTGTTTTTTCAAGACAATGGAAGTTTTGCTGAAGGGATAAGAGAATTTATGGACAGCTTTGGGGGAAAAGGGAGTGCCTGCTTAATCTCAACTTCCTTTTTTGTGTGGATCTAGTCTGCTTATTTTTTGCTGAGATATTTCAGACTTTATATTTATAACTTTTAACCATGTAAAAATCTATTGCATGCAAGAATACTCAGGGAAAATGCTGTATAATTTTTCAGCACAAGCAACTGCAAGTAATCTTATTTTGGACTGAATTTATTCTTCTGTGGGAAATATTTCTGATATTATTTCTGGGCAGGTCAAGATAGCAGTTTATTATATAAACAATTATATGCACTAAAACGATATATTTGACTGTTAGCTTTTAGATCTGCTAACCAAAAATGGGTCTATCTTTAGAAGTACGATTGTGACTTGTAAAGGATAGGGATATGGGGAGAAGGAACTCCAAGAATCTTTTTGAATGGTTTCTCTTGCTGCCAAGTTTAGAACTTAAATCAAGAGTTTAAGGAGGGAGAGGTTTGTCTCAACCAACATCAGGGCTAATATTTCTGAAGGTTAAGTGTGAGGACTTTTCAAAAGCAGCTTTCCATATATAGGCAGCAACTGGAAACCTTTTTCTATAACCTTGGTTATAAAAATCTTCTTCAGAGGTTATTAAGTTACAACTGTGATTCCAATTGACCAGTCTTATATGTTTCCAGAACTTGGAATGATTTTCAGTACTTCCTAGTGACTGGGAAAGTTGTCTGTAGCATCAGGTGTATTAATCACACCCCCAGGCAAAGCACAGCAAAGAGCCAGGAACAGATGAATCACACACTTCTCCTTATTTTTTTGTTAGCACATCTGTGACATTAAGAAGTGAGTGTGCACATTTTGCAAGGTCCTAACATGTTGATTAGTGGATTACTGAACCAGAGAGCCATTTCTTCTCAGAACTTTGGCTTTACCGTATCTTGCCTTGATTTTCAACTGTAAAGTCCAATCAGTTCTGTCCACAGTTCTAAATTTGGCAATGTTTACACAATCAACTAATCTAAGCTGATCTACAATGTGAAAAACAAACTTCTGAATTGTTACCTAGTTACACTTCGATTGGAAATTCTGGAACTTGGAAGTGTTGTGGCCCACCAGCGGCCAGCGGAGCTGATGGCAGACTCCAACAGTGAGGAGATTGGGGAGGAATATGGGCCAGTCCTGGAGTCTGGGGAAGGCTCTGATGAGGGCTCTGCTTCAGAGGCACAGATGGGGACAGGGCCATTTGACAGTTATCAGCTGCATTTGGAGTTGCAGATCAATGGGCAGAAGAACAGCTGGAGCCTGTTCCCAATGTGTGAATGCGCACAGTTGCCAGGAGAATGAAACAGTTAAGTGCCGGCTGGCCACTACGCGGAGGAGAGCCTTTTCAGTAGCAGCTCCGACCCTTTGGAATAATCTCACCGTGGAGATTCGTACCCTCACCACCCTTCAGACCTTCCGCGCAGCCCTCAAGAACTGGCTATCCCGTCAGGCCTGGGGGTAAAGATTTGATTCGCCCCCACCCGAATGCTGAATGAATGTTGTTATTCTTTTAATTACGTGTTATGTCATATGTTACTGTATGTATTCCCCTCCCATATAAGTTGTTAGCCGCCCTGAGTCCCCTCAGGGAAAAGGGCGGCCTATAAATAAACTTATTCCTATTCCTATTCCTAAGGAAGAAGGGCCGACTCGGGAATAAAGGCACAGGTGGACAGTGAATGGCCCCTCCCATAGGGAATAAAGAGGAGCAAAAGGGGAGTGGAGTTTGCAGAAGACAATTACTTTGCTTAATTAGTGTGAATATTTGTTCGTGACTCTCAGAGGCTCCTTGCCAAGTATTTTCTTGTACAGCATTGCGTTTGGAAGATATTGGCTTGGCAGCTCTCCAAACTTGATAAGGTCTGTGGATATAAGTTCACCCTTGAAAGACTGTTGGCCGGGACTTTGCTGGATGTGAATGAGGAATCCATATTAGCTTAATAAAAAGGGGTTTTGTTGGGACAAGAAGTCTGCTTCATGCTTTTGTGATGCCTAGGTCAGAATAGGAAATTTCTTCTAAAACAGGAGTCCCCGACCCCTGGGCTGTGGCCTAGTATCGGGCCGTGACCTATTTAGAACCAGGCAATGCAAGCAGTACGTGAATGCACCCGCCTCCCCGGTTCCACTTGCGCGAGAGGTGGGTGCTCTGTCTCACACCTCCATTTGTGCCACAGGCGCATGCACTTGCACAAAATGAACTGTAAGTACACGCGCCTACTGCTCACACTGAACTACCCCTCTCCCGCCCTATCAGTCTGCTAAGCCAAAAAGGTTGGACATCATTGTTCTAGAGCAGTGTTTTTCAACCACTGTGCCGCAGCACACTAGTGTGCCGTGACATAGTGTAAGGTGTGCCGTGGGAAAATTACTTTATATATAGTCAAAATAGGCACAGAGTTAAAAAATTTTAACATTTTCTAATGGTGGTGTGCCTCGTGATTTTTTTCATGAAAAAAGTGTGCCTTTGCACAAAAAAGGTTGAAAAACACTGTTCTAGAGTACCCAGGTTATAGAAACTAGTTCTGCATATTAACATGCATACCCAAGCCCAAAACACTCTCTCTAGATGCTCGTCCACAAAACAGCAAAGAAATCAAAATAGTAATGTTTGATAACTCAGCCTCCTAACCTTCTGAAGGGCAAAGATAGCTGTTAATTAATGCTTTCATGTCACTGGAAGGGGTTGATTTAATGAAGCAGCCATGCAGCTTAGTCAGTCAATGTTCTGGTTATTATATGCTCTTAATTTCCAAAATTCAATTGTATTCTAGTATGGTCAAGAAATTGAACCCAAGGTCAAACTGTGATCTTGTTTGAAAAGATTTCCACTGAATTCTATGGGATTGCCCTGGCAGGAAGACAATATTACAGTATTTCATGTCAGGAAATAATCTATACAAATTCAATTTGGATGAATGAGCCAGATTTGCAAACACAAATCTGATCCACCTTAATCCTCATTGTATCTTCAGGCAAAGGTTTTTATGACTATTGGTCATAAAAGTTTGGAGGAAAAAAGAAAGGAAAAACCTGGGAGAAAGTTACTATAAATCAGATTTAAATATCCTGCAGAGAAGAACTTGTCCAAATTAAAATCCCTATGTTTTTCTTCAATGTTTATTTGAACAGCCCAGCCGCCTATTATGTTTTAGAAACATTTAATTAAACAATGTTGTAATCTGTCCAGAAACCTTCCATTTCAGGCATTATCATCACCTCATGTGAAGAGAAGAGCAGGAGCCCTTTAATAAGAGTGCTCTTCTCAATGGATTCCTTTACCATTGTTTGTTTCATTACATGTTGGTCAAAGTTAAAGCATCCACAATAATGAAATGGTGATGTTAATTCAACATTAGCCCTGAAGCCAGTTTAATGTAGTGCATAAGTAATCAGGCTAGAAATTGCGATGGTGACGTTTAGTCTTGCCTTGGGCACAATGTCAGGTGGGTGACCTTAAGGCCAGTCACTTTCTCTCAGCCCTACGGATGAAACAATGGCAAACCACTTCTGACAAGCCTTGCCCCAAAACTGTAAAGTCTTGTCCAAGTAGTGTCCAAGAATTGGATACAATTGAATGGAAGGAAGGGGGAAAAAAGAATCCATACAATTGCAATTAGAGGCTCCAAATTTGATCAGATTCAAGAGCTCCCAACATACACATGCAGAGCAACATCTGTATCATTCCAACCACTGCGCATAACTCAGCAAGTGCCCCATTGAACTCAAACAGTCCTCTGATTCAAGGGGACCCCAATCTAATCCTTGGCATATCCCTGGACTTGGATAAATGCTTCTCAGACAGCAAAGGCAGAATGGTCGGAGTACGGTGGTTTTTATATTCCAGCACATTGTGAGGCTCATTCTATGGGCTCCTGCTTTGTTCTTGCAAATTCATTGAACATTTGGAAAAAAAACCAGATGTATCACTTATTGCTTGTATGTACACTGTGAAGACAAACTCCTTGTGTGTCTAATCACACTTGGCCAATAAAGAATTCTATTCTAAAAAGGCCTAAGAACTGCTGGTTTTGTATTCAGACACAGATGCCTTTCTAATGGCTTTTTAGAGGGGGGGTGCACTTCTTAAAAAGTAGGTTCTAAGAGCGACCTCCCCCCAATCCAGCCGCAGTTGCCCGCTGACAGGCCGAGAGTTATCTTAATCGCCTGCCATTTTCATGGATCCTGCTACATACGGAGACTTAAACAAGCTCCGGCCAAGGAGCAGAATACCGTTTCTGTTTGTGTGTCCGTTTCTGTTTGTGTGTGTGTGTCTCTGTGTGTAGATCCAAGCAGCAGCGCTTTAGAACCAGCCGCGAGGCGGAATGCGAGAGTTACGACTCGGCTTTTCCAATCCCCTGGCCAAGTCTTCAAAGGACAAGCGGGGAGGAAAGAAACTTGCTGGCCGGGCGGCGGCTCCTATCCCACTTCCTCCTCCGCAGCTTCTGACAGACTTGCAGGAAAGGCACGGGGACGAGGCCGGCCTATAATCAGAGCCGCGCAGCTGGAGGGCCTCCTAGCCTCTCGGGAAGGCTCGAGACGCCCTCGGGGCAGCTCGGAAGGGAGGGCTCGCCAGCCGCGGGACAAAGACGCTTCCTGCCTCGCCACACCGGCTCGCCTTGCCGCCATAATGCCAGGTCAGTAGCTCCTTTCCCAGCCAGCCGAGCGGAGGGAAGACAGACGCCCGTCAGCGCCGCCGACTCTCGGCTGCAGGGGGCGCAGAAGGGCAGGACCCGCCTGAGTCGGGGAAACCCACTTGCGAGACCGCGAAGTTCGGTCTCTTAACGCCTTTGTGGGTGTCGCGCGGTGCGGTAGCGTTCCGAACATCTCCCAAGTTCGCACCGATTCCAGGCAGGAAAAGCGTTTAGCGGAATTCCGCAGAGTTTACTCCGAGGCACTTCGGAGCGTTCAGCACAGGCAGGGGCGTCCTCGGTGCAGGTTTTAAATGGGTGTGAAGCAAGAGTAAGTTTGTATAAAACTGCCGATCCGAGACTCGTAGGTTTCAAGCTTGGGTTTTGTATGATTTGCAGTCTCTGTATATTCCCAGTTTTAATACGGTACTTTAAATCGATTTAACCTAAATGTTGTCGTTGCATAGGCGTACCTTAACAATAAATATTACATGGGTGGTAATGAAATACCCAGTTAGTATGTGGCTTTGCGTCGAGTGAGTCATGCAAGTATGACTCACTGAGATGGTAGCAGAGTCACTACATCTATAGTTTTGCCAATACCCCTCACAGAAACTTTTACTATAGCAGTCATAGTTAACCCTATTATACCAAACATCACTTAACATGCAGAGGATTCAAAGGTAGTCCAGCCATTGGCCTTTTACTATCGGTAGCTAGAACTACAGTTTTAGCGAGGTCTCTGAATTTCTTCGAGGGTGATTCTTAAACGTTGCTAAGAACTGGAAAATAGAATTGCTACAATTCTAATGAAACATTCTTTCCATAATCCTGAAGAGTTGCCCATTTGAAAAGGCTGCTCTGGGTTCCTTATAGTTTCCATTGAATCATTCCTTCCTTTCCTTGTCTCCCGGCACATAGAAATAGCACTTAGACTTATATACCACTTCATAGTGCTTTTACAGCCTTCTCTAAGTGGTTTACACAGTCAGCCTATTGCCCCCAACAATCTGGCTCCTCATTTTACCCACCTTGGAAGGATGGAAGGCTGAGTCAATCTTGAGTTGGTGAGATTCGATCTGCTGAACTGTAGCTAGCAGTCAGCTCAAGTCGCCTGCAGAATATTACATACTGTGATATTCATTCTGCATAAGCATTCATGCGGAATCATCTTGTTCTCTCGTCCTTTTCTATCTTAGTGTTTCTTATCCTTAGCAAGATGTGCGGACTTCAACTTCTAGAATTGCATGCTGGGAATTGAAGTCCAGACACCTTAAAGTTTCTAAGGTTGAGAAAAACTACTCCGGAACATTTGCTTCCTTCTTGTCTGCTTCTTAGATGTTATTCCCCCTTTTTCTGATCATCTGAGTATCTCTTTGAACTTGAGTATCTCTTTGAACTCTCTTATTATCATCAGGCAGGTCTCACTTATCCTGTCAAATTCTCCACCTTGTCCAGCAGGTATTTGTAAGTAGAATGGTGAATGCCATTTTATTTTTGCTGTTTCTTAAGCAGCAAATTGGTTGCTAACTTGGTCAAGGAACAGAAGTAGGCTAGGTAAGATGGTGCCACTTTCAATTACTTCTAAAGAGAATGTGATAAATTTAAATAGGATAGAATCAGGGGTGAAATTCAGCAGGTTCTGACAGGTTCTGGAGAACTGGTAGCACCCCAGAGTGAGGTGGGAATGGATATTTTGCAGTATCCTTCCCCTGCCATGCCCACCAAGCGACGCCACAGAACCAGTAGTAAAAAACATTGAATCCCACCACAGGATAGGATATATAGACTGGCTGGAAGGGGTGGCTTTTATTGATTAATTGATTCAATTGATATATTTATTTAAAGAACTATCTCTCCTACCATAGCCAATAAAAAGAGAATAAAACTAGAACAATCCTTCCCACCTGGGGCCATGCTAACCCCTATCAGTCTCCTGGCTCAGCCCCCATCCTAGTTCAATGCTCGGTGGGAAGAGTCACATTTCATGGTCTTCTAGAAGGTTGAAGTGGCTTATTATGCATTGTAACCATGGAAGCCACTTCAATGGGACTCCTTTTAGAGAAAGAATTCAGAGAAAATGTTGTGTTCTTTCTCCTAACTCTTGTCAGAAACCCGTTTTCTAGAAACTAGGGCAATGATGATATGGTAAGAGAATTGAGGCCTTGTTTGCAGTGCTTGGCTGTCCTGTGGCACTGAGTATAAACTACGCCTTTGACTCAGTAAAACAACTATGTGCTCCTGGAAAGAGAAAGGGCTGCTTTGATGAGTTGTCTGCAGCGCAGGGGCTTTCAAAACATTCAGGCTGCAGAACTTGCTAGCCTAAAAACCAACACCCCTCTTGAACCCCTGGTCAAGAGGCGAAGCTCTAGTGATAAAAAAAAATTGGCTGCAGTTAACTGCATGTGAATTTTCTTCATTTTGGCTCTTAATCTCTCTTGAGACCCCATCTGAACAGATTTAGAAAAATATGCTCCGATGCATTTTGAAACACCCAGTTCAGGATCAAATTGGAAAAGTTGCACAATTCTAATAGCTACTGTAATGTTAAAATAGGATAGAGTTTGTACATTTTTAACACAGTCCTTGATTTACAACCATTCATTTAATAAAAGTTCAGAATTACAATGGCATTGAAAAAAGTGACTTATGACCATTTTTCACACAACCATTGCAGCATTCCCATGGTCACATGATCAAAATTTAGATTGGCAACAGGCTGGTATTTATGACGGTTGCAGTGCCTTGGAGTCATAGCAATAGCATTTAGACTTATATACAGCTTCTTAGTGCTTTACAGCCCTCTCTAAGCAGTTTACAGAGTCAACCTATTGCCCCCAACAATCTGGGTCCTCATTTTACTCACCTGAGAAGGATGGAAGGTTGAGTAAACCTTGAACCTGGTGAGATTCGATCTGCCAAACTGGAGACAGCAGACGATCAGCAGAAGTAGCCTGTAGTACTGCTCTCTAACCACTGTGCCACTGCAGCTCATGTGATCACTTTCTGGGACCTTCTAATAAGCAAAGTCAATAGGGGAGCCAGGTTCTCTTAACAACAGTGTTATTAACTTAACAATTGCAGTGAGTCACTAAATTTCATAAAATGGGGCAAAACTCATTGTCTTGCTTAGCAATGAAAATGTTGGGCTCAATCATGTTTGTAAGTTGAGGGCTACCTGTAGTAGTACGCACGGGGGGGGGGGGTGTAAAAACATAGATGTATGGGTCTTTCTGAGCTGTTGTGTAGAAAGCTCAATTAGGACATGGGTGTGACTTGAGTTCAGATCTGCTTGCAACCAAATCACATGGAATAACTTCGGACCCATCAGACTACACCCTGTGGCTGATGCTAGGCGGGAAAAGGAAGTATGAAATGCTTGTACTACTTCAAGTGTAAGAAGGGCAGAATGAACTTGGCAAGAAAAGCTGCTCTTGCCAGATTCATGTCCTGTGGGACTTTAAAAGGAGAGCTGAAGCAGGATGTACTGTTGAGTGCCTGGGATGCACGTTATCATTTGATTGATGGCAAACAATAATCCTTTTAGATGTTCTAAGATGAGAGACACTGAAGGAAATCACATGATGCACTTATTAGCTTTTTATGTGGTCCTTTGAAAGCCAAAATTATACGTATGTCCTGACCTGAAGTATCTATAATAAGCAGCACCAAATAGCTTTCCTATCACATGGTTTAACAGTATTCCAAAAATAGGCATAACAATTCAGTCACCCACGAGGGGACATTTCAGATAGTGATTTTAACACTTTTATGAAGGCTTGATTTTATTCTGAGGTGAATGGCTGCTTTTTAACATGTCCACAAATTGCCCATTTAGAATTTTAATTTTTTTAAACTTCTCACTGCTGTCCTTCAGAACTACCTTTAGATCAGTTTATCTGTGTCTAGCATTCATAATAATCTGAAGGTGTTTCTTAATCAGAATTGACTTTGGTGTTGTATTGTTGTATTTCTGAGAGCACATGTTTTTTTTTTAAAGTCATTAAGGAAAAAGGCAGTGAAATTTGGGGAGCAGTTCTGAGTTGTTATATATTCTCTCAACTCTCTCCATCTGATGTGGTAAAACAGAAAAGTAGACTGAAAATTATTTGTTTATTTATTGGATTTATTGGAATATATGTAGGTAGCTGTAGACTCTAGTTTCAGGGAGCACAGTCCAAAAACTGCTTGTTTTAATTGCTAGTTCTATGATTAAGTAGGGGCATGCATAAGCGCACCAGCATTCATAACATCCCTGTCTTACTATCCCCATTTATTTCTACCCATTTCCTATGTTCTTATTCATGTTTATTTTTATTCCTATTATCTTGTACATGAGTGACAAACTAAATAAAAAATAAACATACAAACTGCAATGAACAATAGCCCCCCCCTTTTTTTTGTACAACACAAAGCTGGTAAAAAGCCAGGGTTCCTTCCTTTTAATTTTTTTTAAGATTTGCCATCCATTGTTCATACACTTTTTATGTCTAATCCAGGGGTGGGTTTCTCGCCCCGTTCCAACCAGTTCGGTTGGAACGGGGCCGGCGGTGTCCTCGTGCACGTGTGCGGTGCGCGCATGCGTACTAGCGTCTGCGCGATGCCCCAGCTGCTCCTGGACGATCTCGCAGGCGCTGTATGCGTTCTGCGCA